TTTGGTTTTGTTGATGGAACAGTTCGTCCTATTTGTAAACCTGGCAAAAATCAAAGGGTTCTTTATAATGGCCACAAGAAAGTACATGCAATAAAGTTCCAATCATTGGCTGTCCCTAATGGTCTTGTGGCGAACCTCTTTGGCCCAGTTGAGGGTAAACGCCATGATAGCGCGATGCTTGCCCAGTCTGATTTATACAATAAGCTTCAACAGCTAGATCCCTTACCAAGTGAAAATCCTGTTTGTATTTACGGTGACCCTGCCTATCCTCATCGACCTCAATTACAATGCCCATTCAAAGGAGCGAGAATAACTCCTGAACAACAAGAATGGAACAAAGCGATGAGCAGCGTACGCGTATCTGTAGAGTGGATTTTTGGGGACATTGTGAATTACTTCAAATTCATTGACTTTAAAAAACCCCTAAAAATTCAACTAAGTGCAGTTGGGAAAATGTATATTTGTTGCACTTTACTTCATAATGCCAGATGTTGTTTTTATGGCTCAATAACCTCACAGTTTTTTGAACTAGAACCTCCATCCATAAATGAATACTTTGTGTGAAAATTAGCCACACTATGTTAAATGTTAAGTGTTTAACTTGCATAAGTTTATGTTTCAACAATACATCTACAGGAGAGTTAACCCTAATGTTTATTAAACATCATATTCCTGTTCAGAATATGAACATCACAGGGCCTCTTTTAAGGATTTGTCAGAGGAGGGGCCATCAAGAACAATGGGTCCAACTAGGTGGTGAACAAGAAAACGGTGTCTGGGGGCCCTCTCCAAGAAATTGCTTGTATTTTTAAGTGTCTGGGACTAGATATTTAGAAACATTTTTTATATATTTCATCCGCTAGACAAAGATTTGGTCATGGGAATACTAAAACATTCTTCTTACCTAAGTTATTATTCATCCCCTTTTTGCTTATCGTTTAGACAAAAAGGACCTGAAGCCCTGTTTTGGTCCTTCCAGTGAACTGGGGGGGGGGGCAACATAGTTCACTGAAGGACCAAAACAGGGCTAGGGAGAAAAATCTCCCTCCAGTCTATGGTATTAAAAGAGGCCCTGGAAATAATGTTTTATCTAAAATAACAATAACAAGTGAACATGTAACTGGAGTATAAGAAACATAATGCAACGTTAAAAATAGTTTACTCCTTCTTAGTAATGCTCTGCATCAGTGACAGGAGAGCTGTATTTTGAAGTTGCATTTGATGCATGAGTTGTTCTTGTTGCCTTTGTTGTGCAGCAATGCTGTCAGTCAAGGCTTTAGTTAGAGCTTCCTGCTGTGAAGTAACATTATTTTGCTGTTGCTTTCTTTCTTCAGCTTCAATTTGTCTCAACCTCAATTCCTCCCTCTTAAGTTGGGCATCTACATCCGACTTCTTTTGCAAATAGGCAATTGTTTCACTACCAGTAGTCGACACTCTTCTTTTAGATTTCTCACCATCTTTACTTTCAGACTTTCTTTTTCTGCTTTCAGCCAATGTTTCCATTGACAGTTGCCTCATTTCTACTGCCTTTCCTACCTCTGCAACAGAATTTTCTTTTTGTTTCTCTTCCAATACTTTATCATCATCATCCCTACTCCTAAACAATTCAATCATCTCCTCTATGGCGATTTCTACTTCCGATGGCTCAGGAGAGATTCCGGAAGCTTTTTCCTCTTCCCTCAATCTCCTCTTCTGCTGTTTCTGGAGTAGAGTATAGTGGTCTCGAACAGATTTTTGTGTCACACCAAACTTTGGAGTATTTAGATCATTTAGTGAATCACTGATCATCTCCCAAGCATGGCCCCGTTGCTGCGATCCTTTTTTATAGTTCCATGGTTGAAATAAAAACATTTCACGAATTAGTACTTCATTATGTTCATCCGTCCAGGTCATTGCTTTCTTGCTAAAATCATGAATGAACAAAATGTTAAAATAGGGATATAAGAACATATGTATTACAAATGACTAAATTAGTCACAAAACACATAACAAGATTTTGGGGCCATGCCGCCTGGGGAAGGCGGTGTAACATGAAGGACCCCAACTTGAAGAAGCACTAAGAAGTGCTCTAAGTTAAACAAGAGCCTATAACTTTAATAGGAGCCTCTAACTTGAAGAACAGTAATCAGTATGCATCCTATCATCAGCCTCATGTTAATAGGACCCCTGTTGATGTTTTTCCTATACCAGGTGGTCAAAAGGAAACGTGTCTTTCTCTTTTTGCAGGCTTCTATTCAGGCTATGATTTAATGATTTAATTTAAACTTTCCAAACTATACTTTTAAAATCAAAACCATTCCCACTGATTTATACATCACACTATTACGAAACACTTTTAGCCAACTATTAACTCAAATTACCATTTTAATTTGTTTCATAACGCTCGAAACGGCCATAACGGTTATAAAATGTTTATAAATATATTACAACTGAGCTAATATTTCATTTACTTTGAAAATCAAGTAGTTCGTATATAAATTATCGATATTCTCGCTCTTTGTCAGCATAAACTTACTAAAAGATTTGAATTTAATCCTATAATCTTATTAAGTTAATCGTATGGAAAACAAAACAGCTTTAAACAACTAAAACTGTGAAATTCTTACCTTGATGTCTTCTGTTCAATCTCCGCCATCTTGAAAAATTCAGGACGCGTTCTTAACGTGCCGTTTCGTGGCGTCGCCGTCAAAGGAAGCAGCCAGAATGCTGCGACGCATGCGTGTTATGGACAACTCACGGCGCCGTCGCCAAAATGTGTAGTTTCGTAAACTCGCTATTGTTGATATAGGCCGGCACGGTGAAACGACATGTGTGTTATGGCAAAGCCATACTAACTTATTGAAAATGTCACAGCTTACCTTCTTACGCGTTATTCCAAGCCTATATAGGGCACGGCATAGCGTCTCCGGCCCAAACGCTGATCCAGTGACATTGGCGATATTATCAGCCACTTCATGGAGCTGCATTTGCGGGTTGCGAAGTATACAATCCATTATAATGTATTCTTCATGGGGAAATAGTGTTATGCTTCCCGTCGGGCGACCAAGACGGCATGGTTTCACATCACCCGTGTTTACAAAAGTTCTAACTGTCCGATAGACAGTTTTCGAACAAACAAATAATTGTGAAGCTATGTCCTCATAGCTTCTATTATAAAAATATCGTTGATATATCATCCTCCAGCGTAAATCATTCGAATAAGGCCTTGGCATTGTGGAAAATTTCACCACGCTAATCGAACACGCAATTACCACGCACGCCCCACGAATACCCACGAATAAATACATGTCACGTGATCGATATTTAGGTATTTAGATATATTTGATCTGGACAACCTTTTTGGCAATGACTGTATATATATATATATATATATATATATATATATATATATATATATATATATATATATATATATATATATATATATATATATATATATATATATATATATATATATATATATATATATATGTATATATGTATATATATGTATATATGTATGCACTATTTACAACATGAGCGGCCGTGTTGTATCGGATATACAATGGAATCGTGCTAATTTATAATACTACTTTATGATGATAAAACAATATCAGTTCTTATGCACTCGAAGTTTCGGCCTTGTCCTTCGCTCCGCGATTCAATCAAAGTTGGAAATCACTTGATTCCTTTTTCGGGTTCGGCTACCAATCTTGGTGTGATTATGGATGAGACACTCTCCTATGATGATCATGTTAAGAAAGTTTGCAAGTCCTCGTTCTTTCATTTGAGGAATATTTCTAGAATTCGCAAATATTTGACAAAAAAATCAGTGAAGGTCATAATCCATGCCTTGATAACAACGAAGTTGGACTACTGTAATTCACTCATGTACGGCTTGCCTAAACTTCTTTCGAAGCTGCAATCAGTCCAAAATTCGGCTGCTCGGATTGTTACCTTGTCTCGGAAATATGATCATATCACACCACTCTTAATTCAACTACATTGGTTTCCTGTTCACTACCGAATCGTTTTTAAAATTCTTCTATTGGTTTATAAGTCAATGAACGGAGCTTGTCCACTCTACTTGTCTAGTTGTCTGCAACATCGAACCTCCACCCGATCCCTCCGCTCAGTAGCAAATGAGCTTTTACTGGTGCCTTCTTCCAAAAGTAAAACTTATGGTGACAGATCCTTCGCTGTATGTGCTCCAAAACTATGGAACAAACTTCCATACAGTTTGCGAAAGGCATCCTGTATATCGACTTTTAAAAAGGATCTCAAAACTTATCTTTTTAAACTTTTTATTAATAATAGTTCCCTATATCTTTCTTTTGATTGATATAGCTGGGTCTGTAAGTTTATTTAAGTATACAGCATGTACATAAATGTAAATAATTGTATCGACTTCTTCTTATTTGTGAAGCGCCTTGAACTTTTGGATATGTGCGCTATAGAAATCGAGGATATTATCATTATTATATTATATTTAAACTGATAAGAAGGTATATAAGGCCTGTTTTATTCGTCGAATTTTGGTGGCGTCGAATGCAATTAAAACCTAATTGAGCTTCATTATCTATTGTTGAATTGCATTAGACGCGACAGAAATTCGACGTATATATAAAATGGGCCTTAGTGCTTGTTGGAAAACGCATTTGCTACTTTGTTTACAATGATAATCAAATCGAATCAATTGTCTTATTATACAGCTTATGATATATATATATATATATATATATATATATATATATATATATATATATATATATATATATATATATATATATATATATTGGGATGTGTCTAAAATTAGCGAAAATCGGCATATCAAATATTAACTTCAGCGTTTGTTTGCTTAATGACATATCAGGCTAACTTGTATTTCAGCGAATTGTCGTTTGGATTTGTAAGAGATATGGCGTAGATTTAGACATCGTACATATATGTAAGTCTTAACTCATTGTTTCCTGAAATATGAACTTTCGAAATTATGCAAGTATTTAATAGGTCTTTGCAAACTTAAATGTACATGAAAGACCATGCAAGGCAGGCGCTTAAATTTTTCTTGAATGGCCTAATTTTTATATGTTTTTTATGGGTTCAAAACAAAGTTGATTATTTTTCGGTTAGAGCAGGATGAATATTATTCTTTAATGAATCGAAGGAAATAATATTGCTTTTTGCAAATACACATCACAGTATCAACGCTTCTATTTTGTTACGTTTTGTTCCAAAAATGTTGGACGTCTCTGGGGAGTTGCTTGTTATGTCTTTACTTATGGAGTTGTATACCTGGTTTGATTTTGTTTCATTCTCAGTTTATTCTGAACTTGCCAAGATTAAGAAAGGCAAAAGAGTTTGGGTGTTCTTAACAAGATTTCAGAACGTTGCAGAAGTTAGAAAATTCATTCAATGTGAAGTTAGAAAATTCACAATTCCATTGTGACAGCATGCCCTAATTCAGAACTACGAACGATCCATGACGACCTTCGTGATGCAGTGGTCTCATGAAATAAGGAAATGTATTCGTGCCAGGAACACACGCGGATTTCGGACGAATAAATCTTGCTTGTATAATAATACTTTGTTTCATAATAAACAATTTGTCAAGTGTCATTTATTTACTGGTAATAGTGCATGTTTTAGTCGGGCAAATCTTGATTAATTTTTGCATATTTCAGACACATCCAGAAATATGCTCCCGAGTTTAAACATTAATATCTCCGTGAATTTTTAAGTGAAATACAACTGTAATATATCAAAATCTAAGCTAGTCCTTCCTCTATTTGATGGAAGTTATTTCTCTTTAAAAGCTGTACTTGGTTAGAAGGTATTGCGAGTCAAACCGGAGTACTTTTTTTTGGGACACCCGATATATGTATCGACCATCATGGCGACTGATCATGCATCTCAGAGCTCTGTAAATTTTGGTGAAAAGTTTCCTCTGAACGAAGCAGAAGTGACACAATCGGTTGATAATGGTAACCATTTGTGTTACGAAACAAATAAAGGCAAAATTCAGTTCAAATGGATGTCTAGTTTTGACAAATTAGCTCAATTTGTCGACCAGTCATTGAAGGTCGATGGCGTGTGGTCGGAAATCACCACCAACGGAGGTTATCATGTGTGCAAAAGTCCTGAGGTAACTCTAAGTTTTTATCCAACAACTAAAACTTTGAAAATTCAAGGACCGAAGCAAGTATATTATCGTTCACTTTTGCAAGACATTGGTGGACTAGATATCAATAATTTTAAGAAGCAGGAGACCAACCCTGAAGCCCTCGAGCGAGACGAACAAGAAAGCTTCGATGCTTCATTAGTATGCATTTCTTCACAATCAAGCGTGGGTGAAATGCCTACGGTCTGCTGCGGTACGGTTCTATAGTTGTGCGGAAGGAATGAACAAACTATGGCAAGAAATAGAAGCTATTAAAACCAATCTTAAGATATCTGAAATGAAGAGCGCTTCCGCTAGCTGTCCAACGTGCGAAACTAATTTAAAGGACAAGCAAGACGCACTGAATAAATGTGTGGAGTATGAAAATACAATAAAACGTCTTGAAGATGAAAAATTAAGCCTAATAACAGCTATTAGACTTTTACAGGAAGATTCGCAAAGCATCCACTCCAAAACGGACAAGATTCCGGCAAATTCTGGTCCATGGGAAAAAGTTAATCGAAAGGGCAAGCGAAATAATAATAACAGTCAAGATCAAAGCCAAACGAAAAATGATGATAAAGCTGCTGATGCAGAAGGATATGGCGTAAATCAAGACGAAAGCTCCAAGAAAAGGTCAGTTGTTATACTTGGAGATTCTATGACTAAAAACATACAAGGATGGAAATTGTCAACTAAAGACAAGCATGTAGCTAGAACATTTCCCGGGTCTACTGTTGAAGACATGTCTGACTATTGTAAGCCATTTACAAGGCAAAATCCCGAAAAAATTATTCTGCATGTAGGGACTAATAACGTTGTAAATGACACTCCAACAAATGTCGCCACGAAGATAACTAACTTAGCTAAGAAAATTAAGAAGGATCTTCCTTCGACAAAAATAGCGATATCGGGACTAATCTGTAGGAAGGATGAGAAGCTTAACAATAACATTAAGCAGGTGAACGACGTATTAAAGAAAAGTTGTAATTCTAACAATTGGAAATTTATATCTAACCATAATATTGGAAATGACATCATTAATGGTAGTGGTGTTCACCTGAACCGTAAGGGCGTGTATACTTTCGCCAGTAATCTTAAGTTAGCGATAAATAAGGATTGAAAATTTGACAGCGGAAAGATCGGAAATACCGCTAATTGTGATAAAAATCTGATGCCATTCCAAAGGATAATAAG